AGGTTAGAAAACCCGTGTTTCGCGCACGCAGTGTTAAAAAATGGTCTATTTTGCTCTGTTTTGACATGATCGTTCATAAGTGCCCTGAGAACCGTTTTAAGTCTTGTCTCATTTTTCTCGTTGAAATTTCAACTTTTTTTTTTTAAATTTCAACCCCCTAACTACGAGAGTACATTTCTGGAAACCATTCGCGTGGAAGGTAAAATTGATAAAATCGATAATAAAATTGATATTTTCGGAATAGCTCATTTGGAAGGTCTATTTACGACCTTTAAAATGTGACCCACAAAACTAAAAGTTAATTAGTTTAGCTTTTTATAGAGCTAATCTGGCTCAACTATTTTCACGAAAATTTCGATTTTACACATTTTTAAAGTCCAAATTTTCTCCTCAAAACTTGAGAGGTAGTTTTTTGAATTTTCAAAAAAATCTTGTAGCTCAATTTTTTGGTATTGAGCCAAAAATACACGTTTTTTGACACTCATAAGTCACTAGACACCCCCAAACAATTTTTTTCGGGCTAAAACTTTGGGAAAAGTCTTTTTTCATGTTATTCAATAACATATATTTTTCCCAGTTTTTTTTTAAATATCGCCGCGCACGTATTTTAAAAAGTACGAGAATCTTAGTCTTGGTCACAAGAGCCTATGAGCGAGCACATGAATAGTTGAATTTTTAGTTTTTTTTCCCTTACGCCGCAAAAAATTTGTCGGACACTATTAAAGCCACAATCCACATCTTATTTAAGAACGAATAAACGTTGAGTGGGGCATGTATTGATGAGAAAACATCATCTCGCATTATAGTCATATTTCATCAATCGGACTGAAAAAATGCAGCAGAGAATTTGTCGGACACTATGAGCACTTGATAATATTGGTGATTATCAATCAAATGATTGAAAAAAAAAGTATGTATTTATCAAAAAACAATAATGCTTGAGGGCAAAGGGTTTCGACGCGTCGGACCATCTCATTGCGGTAGCCCTTTCGTCGGACAAGTTATTTTTCATACATAGTTTGAAATGGAAAGGCCAAAATTATTAAATATAACTATATATTTATCAAGAAAGAGAATTGTTTGTATCTGGCATGTTTCGCACATGCGCCATTGAAAATGCAGCGGAACCAAAACTCCGTACAAGAGGTTCGTGTCGGACTCAACGAAACGAAGCCATTCCCGAAGTTACAGACATGTATTAATCACTTCACGAAATCGGCGCTGTCCCGTGGACTATATATATAGAAAGAGAAAAACTTGGCAATGTACAACTGCGCGTGTCCTCTTGCGTGTAGACACGCACAATACGCGATACAGTCGAGTCCTCCACCTCTCGCGTCTAGTTGGCCCCGACGCATTGTCTGCTACTTTTAATGCACTGCGTCCAAACGTGTGTATTATATGTAGGTGCAGTGTGCGCTCGCACACGACGGGGCCACGTACACATATAACATACATGCACTTGCCTCTGTTGTCGTGTACGTCGGCAAATTCAGAACACCACAAAGTAGACATCGTTGTTGCACCCTGTGGACCTTAGAGCTCTGCTCTATGTGTATATATATATATATTATGCGCCATCGTTGCATGTTTCACGCCTCGAGCCTCGCGTTGCTCTGCCGAGCTACGCTGTCAGGGAATTTCAGGGCTTTTGTGGATCGTATAACTCACCCATGTGCATATTACACAGTCTGTACGTGTGTGCGCGCGTACAACATATAAGTGCGCGCATGTACATATAGAACACGTCTATCGGTGTAGTGGTTATATATAAGAATCTAAAGCAGCCGCGTGTACAACAACTACTACTAGTAGTGCAGCGCATTGCTATGCTATATCTATAAACGTGACCCCCTACATATAGCACTACGTGGTGTGAGTGAAATATTTCTCCGGCGCTCACACATTGTTGTTCCCGAGTATTCGAGCTTCCGATCGAGAACCCCCATCCTCTCTCAGCTGTAGCGGTACAGGATAAACATAATTGGCACTGAGAATTTGTTTCATTTTACTTCTTTCTCTTCTTTTTTTTTTGCTCGAGATAGCGAAACTCACGCTGCAGTTATGAGCTTTTCTTAATATTACAAGTCACTCGAGGAAAACGTTCAAAGGCGTAGAAAGAATAACAGCTTTTCATTTAATTCCCGCTATTTTATTAAAAGCCGCCCGACACTCGAGGGCACGACGAGCTTTTATATTTTTTGTCTTATATATATTTCCCGCAGCTGGTCTCTTTTACACTCGGGGCACGCGCTCTTTTAAAGGGCACGCAATTGGCTCGCGCGTATTTATATGTATAAATAACATTTTAAAGGATTCTCTTCGAAAGCTCGCGTTGATCCTTATTTTACGTAGGTATATACAGGCTTTGTGTGTGTGTGTGTGTGTATACAAGCGCGAGCATAGAAAAAGGATACGTGCGGCGGGGGCAATCGTGCGCGCACGTCTCGGGCAAAAGAGTGCTGCCGCATGCAGCTGAGTATTCCGTGGGAGCAAAAAGATTACAGCGAGAGAGCTGCGCTGCACTCGGATGCTGAACATCATTGAGATTGGGAGCTGCAGCGAGCTCTGCGGGCGCGTATACATATATTCCGTGTATATTTTGCCCGAGACGTGCACAAAGATTCGCATTGAGCTTGTAACGCACCCACACACACACACACACACGCATACATACGTACAGGTAAAATACACAAAGATAAAATGCTTATTTCTCCTTTGAAAGAAAAATATTACGTTTGCAATTTTGCGAAAGGTAAAGAAAAAAATATTTATATATTAAAAACGCGGCGAGTCGAGCTTTTTTTTATTGAAAAAAACATCGATATATTTTGAAGTGAAACTTTTTTTAACCTCGTTGGGTATAAGGGAGAATTTGTAAAGCAAAGTGAGCGATAAAAATAATCATAACGTTTTATATTGGCTTCGAGTCGATATTTGAACGGTACCGTTGCGGTTGTAAAGTGGTCAAGTGATCAACCGAATATGTCGGTACACGTGCGAAACTTGAGATTCATGAATTAACATTCGAGAAAAACCAATCTGAAAAGGATCTTGACGGGCTCGTATGAAAGGCTATCGAAAGATGCATAAGTTCTTAAGTAAAACTTGCTCAATTATGTTGGGAAAGTAATAAAAAACTGTCGATTATAAACTTAAAGTTATCATCTTTCGATCGACGCATTAAAAATTCATGCTATCAATCAATTTGTTCAGCCGCTCTGCTAATCATTTCCAATCC